CACACAGACAACCCCGTAACAATATGCGTTTTGTACTGCTGCTACACAGCACAAAACGCATAATAAATGCTTCGAGTTAGCGCTGTGGCTTACCAAAAACTCGAGAAAGATTTATAATATGCCATCAGTGTCTTAAAAAACCCGCTTACCAGAGGCAAATTAAGCAGAGTGCGATGTGCACCAGCAAACTGGAACAGACAATTAAGTCTAAACGAGGGTGAAAAGAAAGGGGTGAGGAAAAGGCCAAATTTACATGTCTTAAATGCAAATGGAGCTCACAGCTCGAAATTTAGTAAGTTTATGTTCCAATACTCGGACTCTGAGATAACTAGGTATAGCTCCATGAAAATTCAGCTTCCCTGATGTCTGGGTTTTCCTATACGAATCTGTACACATACCTACAAACACATACAGTACATAAAAAGTAATAGCAGTTTTGACTTTCGCAGTCGCATAAGCTAAAAAACCTCTGAATAGATACCTTCGGTATTCATGACGGCAATCATCGTAAAGTCTGTCGCGATCATCGTAGTGACGTGATTTGCGATGACTAGGCCTGTCGCGATCACGATAATCACTGTCACCGCTATATCGATTGACTGAGTGAAGTATGCGCCGGTCGTCGTGAGTCAGAGACCTTAAGAGTCGAATCATCAGAAAGACTGGACTAAGCAAATCCAAGGCGATGCAAATAAGTTAGCAGTCAGTGATGCAACTGTCCTATCTAATTTCCGACAGCGAATTACATTGTGAAATTGCAGCCAAAAAGTCGAGATTATGTAGAAACCCCCTAATACTTTCCACGAAGGGAAAAGTGCTAGAACAAAGCAAAAGTACTGACATGACACATATACCGAAGGCATATTCAACCACTGAATGCTTCTACAGATCTAGTTTTGTGCTCCAGTGGCAAATCTTTATCTTGCCAGTCGAGCACTGTGCATCGTTGACTAATTTTTACCCACCACACTAAACCTTGTGATCACTGGTCTAATTATTGCCACCAAAAAAGCGAAAGGGTGTCGCTGTAGGGCTGATGTTTGCCCAAAACCCCGTCTCTTTGCTCAAAAAATACGTTTCTGCACTATTAGAGTATATCGTTTTCCTACCTTTTGGCGATAAAAGTAGCACTTCCGAATTCAGTCACCCATTGGCTTTGAGCACTATTCCTTCCAAATAAACTCTTCTATAGACCTAGTTTTGTGCTTCAGCGGCAAATCTTCATTTCACCAGTCGAACACTGTGCATC